GTTGGTGTCAAGAGGTGGTTAGGAGCGGTTGAATTCAGCATATGTTTTAAAATAGAAGCAACAAGATTCCCTGACAGACTGAGAGTGGAATATGAGAAAAGAAAGGAGTCAAGCATGACTTCAAGATTTGTGGTTCACTTATTTTCACTTCAAGATATAGTGTATCAAGAAATATATTCAAATTCATTTCTTCACTATTAGGTTAGACTCAAGGTCTTTAATTAAGGCAAGCTCACATGTTTGAAAATATTGTCCATGGTTATAATAGTAATAATAATAATAATGCCCTACAATTTATTAAACATCAGGTCCTTTAATCCAATTGTCTCATTGGCATATACTATTTTCCTCAATTTATAGATTTGTAAACAAAGGTGTGACAGCTTCCCTAATTTTTGACCCTGCTTCCAATTTAGGGCCAAGCAGAGAAAGCCAAATATGCACCCCTAACCAATCACCTAGGCTGCCTTGCCTCTAACTAGCCTGCCTACAGCTCCCCATACCAACGGCACCCAACTGGGGTGGATCTGAAAGCTTCCCTTTTTTCCGCTCTAAAGCTTCCACTCCTCTGCCTGCCTTGGAGTCTCTGCCAAAACGCAAGTGCTGGACTCCCTTGCTGTAGCAAGCTCTGCATAAATAGCCTCTGCTTGTTCTCATTTGGCTGGTTTTTGTTTATTTCCACAGGTGTCTTGTTCAGGTTCCCCAGGAAAAGGACTCAGAGGTGAAGACTTGCATGTAGCTTAATTGGGGAACACTCACAGGATGGCCGCCTGTGAAGGAGGGGATGGGAGCAGGATGGGGCAGATGGAGAAGTTGAGCTGTGACACAATTGCACTAGAGGCCTCAGCTGAGCCCCATGGGGAGCTCTGAGGCGGGAAGGCCCTTCAGAAAAATACCCTGGATTAGTAATTGCATGCAGGCCACCCTAATGAAGGAGAGGAACCTAAGGAGAGGCAGCTGCCTTTGACCAAGAGCAAGTCCGAGGAGGGTCTCAGCTATGAACCCTGAGCAACCGACACTCAGACAGCTGGGGAACAAGTGCTCGGACCCCCTCCCGGGGGAGAGATTAGGTCACCCCAGCCACCACATGGCTGACAGCAGATCATCACTTGAACCTAACTTTGAATCCAGGTTCAAAGCCCTTTTTACTACAGCGTAGTTGACTCCACTCAAAAAACATGACAAATGGAAATTTTGTGACCACTCATGTTCCTTCCTCTTAGTCCAAAACCAAGACCGTATTTGGACAGTGACTCAGACATTTTTAGCAAATGATTTAGAGCAGCGGTCCCCAACCTTTTGGCACCAGGGATTGTTTTCATGGAAGATAATTTTTCCACGGACGGGGAGGGAGTGATGGTTTTGGGATGATTGAAGCACATTAAATTTATTGTGCACTTTATTATTATTACATTATAATATGTAATGAAATAATTACACAACTCACCATAGGTTGGGGACCCCCAATTTAGAGTATAGCAGTTGGCTCAATTGAATGTGGCATTAAAAGATCTGAAATAAATCCCAACCGGACCAACCAAAAGCAGTTAGCTGAATTACCACATGTAGACATTCATACCATCTTAATATAGTTTTTTACTAAATGTTTCCCTCTCTCAATAGAGCAGAGCATTGTGACAGCAGCTTTCCAGCTTGAGATGCTGACAACTTAAAAATAAGTTGATGTGAAAATAGTATCATTCCCACTTCAAGGGTATTCATCCCCTGGGTAAAATTATTCCCTCTTAGTCAACATCCTGGTAAAATATATCTTAAAAGTTAGTAAAATATTAATTTATTCTTTTAAAACACTCTAGCTCTCTACCTTGTTTTGTCACTAGTGTTACATGATTATTGCAAGATTTTTAGCTTTATTTGAGCCACTTAAACTCAATACTTCTTTTTTGGTTTTACAAGTAAATCAGCTGGTACTTTACCTAATAACAGGAACATAGCTGAAGATTATCAAAAACATACACCAAGTTCTATCTGCAAATTGGGCTCAATAGTCCCTTTATCTGTAAACAAGTCAGTAACTGTGACTTTTCAAAAATCTGTCAGCATATTCTCTCACCATCACATGACCTTTTAAATATGTTAGTCATTGTTACCAGAGCTTTTGGCTTTTTTTTCCTGTATGTCCTGGAAATTCCCTCACACTCACCCCAAGGAAGGTTTGTCACCTCTTGATTAACCTTGTATGGGATTTGAGCTAATTTGTAATCCCAGGTATCTTTTGCCCATAACATAATATCAGCAGTTCTTAAACTTTGGGTCATAATAATCGTTAGGGGAATCTATTAAAATACAGGATCTCAGGCCAGGCGCGGTGACTCATGCCTGTAATCCTAGCGCTCTGGGAGGCCAAGGTGGGAGGATCACTTGAGTTCAGGAGTTCAAGACTAGCCTGAGCAAGATTGAGACGCCATCTCTACCAAAAATACAAAAATTACCTGGCATGTTGGTGTGCGCCTTATAGTCCCAGCTACTCGGGCGGCTGAGGCAGGAGGATCTCTTGAGGCCAGGAGTTGAAGGTTGCAGTGAGCTATGATGACACTACTGCACTCTAGCCAGGGCAACAGAGCGCATCTCAAAAATAATAATACTAGTAATA